GTGTTCTCGGTTTCAATAAAAAAGAAAGGCCGGAAAAGCAACTTCTGACAGACGAATTTCGCAAGCGCAAAAACATATTTTTGGTTTAAATTTTATAAGTACAATTTGAATACAAATAAGTAAAATTTTGAACAGTCCTAAGTCTTATTTGAAGCGCCAACGCTAACTAGATGCTATTACTATATTCGACTAATCCCTCCCTAAGGCCCACCACTGTAACCCCTGTACACTAAGATCAACCTGCAGTACCTTCTCCGTTTTTTTTTTTTTTTTTATTTCTTTAAAAAAGACAACTCCCGCATTAGGAATAAATCCTGTGTCGCGGGGGACTTTACAAACATACATGAAACGGACACAAAGAACACCCAGACTCAGAACAACAATTTGTGGATCACACAAAGTGTCGTCCCATGTGCGGTTTGAACCCACAACACTCGGCGTAGTAGGAAGCGGCGTGGCGACCGCTTAAACCACTACGCCATCCGTGCAGTCAATGATGGATAACGGTTGAATACATTATATAAAACAGGTTAAAATTATACATTGGATAATATTTTAATTTCAATTTCAAATTCAATTTCAATTTATTGCATTCCATAATGTACATTCAGGTGGTAGGCTTAAAAGTAGATAACAATTATGGACCCTGTCGGGCATAGCACTATCAGGAGAGAGGAGGAGCTGCCTAATTATGCTAGTTTGAAGAGCTTGATTTCAATACCAACATTTTCTGCTTTAAACGAGATAAACTAATTAAACCAAATAGTATATTTAACTTGCATTATCATCATAAAAGGATGTAGTTGTTGATAATTTAATAAATTTATTAATGAACAATGTCAGTACAAAATTATTTTACCATTCATTGTATATCAATTTATTGCATAGTCATTCATTATATATTAATATTTATTAAATGTAAATTTATTAGATTTTATGTCTATACTGGCATGTGTTTATAATTATTAATTTTAGTTATTTAAAGTTTATAATTTATCTTCTAAGTATTCCTTGACACTGTAGTAGCATTTATTTATCAGGAGTTTTTTTAATTTGTTAACAAAAGTATTGTATTTATTTTCGTTTTTGATTTCGTTTGGTAGCCTATTATATACTTTTACTGACATTACCAATGGTCCAGAGGAGTGAATTGCTAATCTTGAAGTAGGAAGATTTAATCTACTTTTGTGTCTTAGGGTCATTATGGATTGGATATCTTCGCGCTTGGTGTAGTGTTCCGGATATTTACGAACAAGTTTACATAATTCCAAGATGTAGATGCATGGTAATGTTAGGATTTTGAGTTCTTGAAAGTGTGGTTTACATGTGTCAGTATTTTTTATATTGACCAAGACTCTAATCAATGCCTTTTGCTTAGTAAAAACAGCGGGGACGTCCGTACTATTGCCCCACAAAATTACGCCATAGTTGAGCCAAGAATGTGCGTAGGCGTAATAAGTGACAAGTGCAGTAGGTAGATCTGTGACTTTTTTGACTTCGCGTAGGGCGTATGTAAAGCTTGATATTTTTGCGCTCACCTTTTTTACGTGCGCCCTCCAGTTGATATGCGTGTCTATGGTTACCCCGAGTAAGTTAAACTCATTAACAACTTCTATCTTTGATCCATTAAATGTAAAATTGATGTCTATTGGTGATTTTTGGTGTGGATGGAAAGTTATCAATTTAGTTTTTGAGAAATTTATTTCCAGATTGTGTTTGTTCATCCAGTCCACTGTTTTTGTGAGTGTTTGGTGAAGATTTTCACAAACATCCACATTAGTTGTACACGAAGTGAGCAAAGAGATGTCGTCCGCAAATAAGACACATGGTCCGTTTATTGTTTTGGGTAGCTCGTTTACATAAATTATAAATAATAGGCACCCAATTACGCTACCTTGAGGAATAGAGGCTTTTATATCTTTCCTGTTTGAACGGATTTTTTGTATCTCGTGTGTGTTTTTGTTGAAGAATTCTAGTTCTACAGTTTGTTTCCTACCTGTTAGATATGACTCTAGCCATTCGTAAGCTTTACCCCGGATTCCAATAGCATACAGCCTATTTAATAGAATATTAAATTGAACTTTGTCGTATGCTTTGCTCATGTCTAATAGAAGACCTACTGCGTGTTGCTTATTATTCAAAATGTTTAAGGCTTCTTGGACGTATTTATATACTGCTAAGATCGTGGATTTATTTTTGCGAAATCCATTCTGGCACTCATCTAATATTTTATATTTTTCACAGAAGTTATACATTCTATCTGTCATCGCTTTTTCAAAAATCTTGGATGCAGTCGGTAACAGGGCGATAGGTCGATAATTGTCTGGGTCGGCTTTTGAGTTTTTCTTGTGTATTGGTTTTACCAAGCTATGTTTTAATTGGTCAGGCACGACGCCTTCTTTAAATGACTGATTAACCAATAAATAAAACGGCAAAGTTAGTTCATCTGCACAGTGTCTCAGTACGGTAGGTGGAAGCTCGTCTATACCACAGCTTTTTTTATTTTTAAGTGTTTTCAGAATTGTGTTAACTTCATGAGGATCCACTGGGTTGAGATATATTGTATTTTCTATTGTGTTGTGGGCTTGTACACTATTTGTATTGCTACCGGAAGGCTGGTGTAAAGTCTCTCCAATTGATGCAAAGAAGTTATTAAAATAGTTGGCAATTTCGCTAGGCTCAGTTGTTAAGATATTATTTATGTGTAAATTTATGTTTTGTATGACTTTTTTAGGCTTTTTGTTCGTTCGCTCGTTAATTATACCCCACATGGTTTTCACTTTATTATCGGCTTTCGATATTCTATTTTTGTAGTATAATTTTTTTGCTGTTGTTACAGTTCTTTTTAATATTTTTTCGTATTTTTTATAGTAATTAGTTATAACCTGGTTGTTTGATTTTGAAGCAAGGATCTTTAGTAACCTTTTATTTCTACAGGACTGCTTTATACCCACCGTTAGCCAACGATTTTTGTATTGTGGTTTTAAATTTATTTTTCGTATTGGCATATATCGATTTAGGGTGGACCTCAACATGTTGATAAATGTGTCATAGTTTATGTTTATATTATTGTCTTGTGAAAGAATGTCGTTCCATTTTAGTCCGACTAGTTCAGACTTAAATTTGTTCATATTACTTTGACTGAAAATTCGTTTCTTTATATACCATGTTATCTGTTTAGTTTGTTGTGGTAGTTCTAGGTGGATAGTAACCCCGCAATGATCTGAGAATCCTAATTCCTCGACGGTTGTATGCAAGTTATTGTCATTGAAATTTGTGAAAATCAAGTCCAAGCACGTTGAAGTAGTCGGTGAGATACGTGTAGGATCTTTTACGTGTTGTGTAAATCTATATTCTAACATTAGATCCAGAAAATGGTTAGTTTTTATATCATTTTTCAAAACATCAATATTGAAATCCCCTCCCAGAATTACTTTAGTTTTCGAATACTTATTGATAATGAAACTTAAAATTTGTCTTACTTGAGTTTTAAATACCTCTTCCTCTCTTCTGTTCCAGTATGCAGTTACTAATAATATATTCTCTTTAGGTAGTTCACATGCACACATTTCTATTACATATTCAATTGACATACAGCTAATTTCACGTACTTCATTGTGTTCGACGTCTTCCCGCAGCAGGATGCACACGCCGCCTCCCGTTCGGTTGACCCGGCAGTATGAAGAAGCTATTTTATACCCGGAGATTTGTAAAGCATGTAATTTTTCTAATGACAGCCAAGACTCCGTTATACATATCGCGCCATATGTTATATCTTGTGTTACGAACTCTTCTAGTATACATTGTTTATTGTATAGACTTTGTATATTTTGGAATAAGATTTTAAACTGTTGATCTGTAGTTTCGAAAGGGATAATTTAAGTTATTTTCAGTTGTTTCTGGTTGGTGGTAGGTCTGGTTAGGGTTGTAGGGCTTACTCTTAATTCTCTCATTCTCAGTTTCGATGTCGTATTGCTTTTTGTCTATTTCTTCCTTTAAATTAATTAGTTTACCCTCTATAAAAAGTAGATTATTTCGTTTTATTATTATTTTGTTTATTATTTTGTTTCTTTCGTTTCGTGACTTCAGTTGGTGAAGATATTGGGTAAAGATTTGGTAAAATGTATTTTTTACAACCCGGGCCTCAATTCTCCCATTACCCATAAGGAAATTATTTATTAATTTTGATATTTTTTTTATTTTTTTATTTTAATAATTTATTTATTTCTTTTAATAATTTATTATAATAAAAATAAAATAAAATCATTTCATCAAAAAACGTAATATATTTTTAACTACCGATATTTATACCGATGCCAATGGCCACTCGATGGCATCTCAATAGCGTGTCAGTGGTATGACACTGGCTTTTCGTAAACATAAAATAGCAGAATTGAGGCCCCGGATGGAATGCTGCAGCAATCACATGAATTGCTGCAGCATTCCATCACTAAATTGATGTAATTACATAATTTTGTAATTTATATAGTCGTATGTAATAAAATTGCGGACGAGGAGTGGAGTGCTTGTTTTATCACTATTAATTTATTTTTCAACTTTGTACATCAGATTTTACTTAATATGTTCATTGTTGGTCAAGAATAACCCAGTAAAGGGGAGACTTTTACATATTCGCAACTAGCAACACCGGAATAAACGTCAGAGCTTTCATCAAAATATCTGTGAATCCCAATACGTACTACCTACATAAACATAATAATGTGCGGATTGGGTTTTTCCGCTGGTTTTCCTTAATCACACAGTTAATATCTACTACGATAAAATAGCAGATGACGTGTTAGTAAAATTACAAATTCAATGTCTGTCTACACAAGTCGCCCAAAACAAGTTCTAAAAGTGATGAAAATTATCGAGTATATTTTATTTTAACGGGTAGTTAATTATGCAGTGCTAGAAATGACTTGTAGAGTGTTGTGGCATCAGAATCATAATAAGTGTGTCAGTGCGGTACACCTGTAGGGACTCACGGTGGGATGGGCATGCGCGCGCGCAGTTGGTGCTTGTTGGTATGGTGGGTGTGGTGGTGGTGCTGCGCTGGCGCCGTCCAGCGTCCTCTCTGCGACCACGCACCCGAGCGTTGCATTGTGCTCGGAACTCACCACGACGAATATAGTTACCGTGTGGATGGTAAGCCATCTTACACCAATATAATTATATTTTTATTACCTACTATTGAAACCCTATAGGAAATAGCATTTGCTCTGAAGCAATCAAGCATCTATATGTTTTATATCGCAATGGTTCCATGTCACATTTGCCTGTCTCATAGTAGAAAATGTAATCATGAGTCTTTAAGAAGGTACTAGTTGACATAAATCATGAGTGCACCTTTAAAACACTTGGGTTGCCAAAGAAATGTGATTATTAAAAATATATCAATGCATAAAGAGTTTGTGTTAAATGTAGCCTTCATTATCGAACCAGTCATTATAAATTTAGAAGACACATTTTCAAAAAAAGACTATTATATATCCTGACATTCAAAAAAAGTACCAAAGTACCATAAAGTTTGTGAAATAAAACTTAAATTTTATCTTACATTTAAATAACATTTAGCTTTTACAAAAAACCCAAGACAACCAATGCAAAATTAACATAAGGAAAATGCTTTTTTCAGCAAACAAACATGATTCTATCAAGATGATTTAATCTCATCAAAATTATTTTTGATTACAATTTTTGAAAGATGTGGCTGTCCACATATTAGAAAAAATATTATACACATGACTTTCCAACATACATTTTTTACATACAAATGAAAACCATATTATATATTTCTGAAAATTACTTCTAAGTATATTTTTTTAAAGGAACATGAACATAACTGCTTAGATATTGTTATTACAACAGTAGTTATGCTCATGAAGTAGGAACAGCCAACATTAATCTTATTTAGCTAGTTAAGCATTTTAAACAGTCCCTCATGCAGCAGTGCTATTCATTTCTGTTTACATCACATCAACAGCCTCTAATAGTCCACTGCTGGACATGGGCCTCTTCTTAGAAAGGAGGTCTTGGCCTACTATTTCTGTTAAGTGTGAGTAAGTCTTGTGTTGAACAGTTTATTTACATAATGTTACTCTTTCTCTCTTAGGTGAACACACTGACATCAAATTTATTGATGGTGGTTACTTTTCCTTCGAGTGTGGAATGAATGTTACACTGGATAATGAGGCACTGCCACGCTTCACAGATGAGGTGCGAGTTGCCCGCATTTACCTAATCAATTGTGCACCGCCCAAGCAATCATATGTGCACATACTTCGGAGACTTAATGTAGTTGCTCTCAATGATCTCATCATCCGTGGCGCTAGTCGCGTAATCTCCGGCGTTCATCTTGCTGGGCTCACTGTGAACTCACTAGCGTTGATAAATCTCCACCTCGCTGCCAATGCATTTAATGCCTATAATGCTACTCAATTACGACTCGACAACGTAAAATCGGTAGCCATCGAAAATCTGCCAGCTTCACTGCAAATTCTACATCTAGCTGAAATAGGTATAAAAAATATAACACGCACGAACTTCCAGAATCTGCCGGCTCTCGTGAAGCTTGCTGTGCGCGAAGAGGGTATGATTTACGTAGAAGCGGCGGAGAGCCTAATTGAACTAGCTTTGGAGTCTCATGCCGTGTGGCTCGACCCTGCGCTACCAGACAAGCTCGAGAAAGTCACTCTCACTAGTTGGGAGGAACAAGCCCTGGCGCCATGGAAATCGTGTAATGCCTTGAAAGAATTGGTAATAGATGGAAATAAAAACAGTACACTGCCAGAGGGCTGGCTAACGAATTGCAAGTCGCTTATTAACTTATCAGTAAAAAATTGTGGCCTAGAGAAACTGCCAAATGGACTGTTTGACAACTCGAGGTCGCTTTCACTTCTCAACTTATCTGGAAATCGCATTGAAGTACTACCAAGGTAAGTGTTTCATACAATAAACTTACTTAGTATAAGTGTTTTAATTGAGTGCAGTCAGTATTCAAGGTAAACCCTACTAATTGCGAGTACACGCTATTATCTTCTAGTGACTGATGAACTATGAGTACTTACAGAATATAAAAAAAATCATAAATGTTATAAATCTATATTTTTTTTTAATTTAAAAAAAAATATCCAAATACTTTAAGAGAATACTTTATTATATATAATGTTATAAGTTGGCATTGGTTGGAGATATAAACATAAATACATTAAAACCTAACAAAATAGTAATAGTCTTAATGGACATACTTAATAGCTATAATCCTATTTTACATTTAAATTCCAAACTCATGTATAGAACAATGTTATTAGTAACATTAAAGAGGCTCAAGGTGAAGTATTGGCACTGGGCCTCTCAGATCATGACATAGCTCAATTGCTAAAAACACCAACAAAAAAAGCATTTTGTAATCTTTATTAAACATTTTACTATAGCTTAGAACTGGCTTAAGTTTGGTAGAGTTTGTGATGAATAAGATATAATAATGAACACAGCCTTTGACTATTTTCATGAAGAGTTTTGTTTATTCTACAAGATCTGCTTTCCTAAAATAAAAATAAAGAATTTCCAGCAAAAATCAAGGTAGGTAACGAGTAACAAAACGCTGCTATATTAAAACTCTAAAAAGTCACTTACTTGAGAACAATATTAACTTCAAGTATTATACAGGTTTGTTTGTCATTTCACTCAATAAATAACATCATTGTGGGTAGGTAGGCACTAAGGTAATGTATTAATTTGCCCGAGGACAATTTATGTGAATGATGTACGTACATATTGAGCACATCGAGTTATGAATACATATAATGAATTTACATTTTTAATATACGATGGTAGTTTATTTGTATAGTTGTGCCCATTCATATGTCAGCATTTTTTTATCATAATTTGTTTTAGGTTTAGGTAAAACCAAGAAACTAGCTCGGCGAGTACTATGTTGCGTTGTGTGTTTTACTTTAGTGAATGATACTACTCGTAGATTTTATGTTTAGAATGTTTTGGATAAAAATGCACGTAAGTAATATATGTAAATAATTGTTTTAGGTTCATAATTTTGATTTCATTATAAATTTTGTATGTTGGTGAAAAGCGTGGATAGTTTAAAAATCAATTTCACGACTTTATTTAGCATGATTTTTAATTCACTTAATTCAGTCTTAGCTACATTACCATAGCATTAGGTATTGTAAGTGTAGTTTAACTAAAGCATTTCATATATTATGGCGTAATGCACTAGGAATGCATTTAACTATATTTCGAAGTGATCCGTGTAGGGATGTAAGTTTCGTTTGTAGATGATCCAAGTGAACATTCCACAATAGCAGAGTGTCAATTCTTAAGCCAAGGTATTTCTCACACGATTTTTGTTGTAGGGTTCATTGTTTATTAGTAATGGTGTCGGTGTAGATATAGTTTTATTTTTTTGCTTTAAAGATAATATAACATGTTTTTAAGATATTAATAGTTAGTGAGTTATATTGAAACCATGAGCACAAAATGTTCGAATCAGCTTGAGCTTGGTAGATCATCGTATGAATAGAGGATCCAAAGTAAAACAAACAAGTGTCGTCGGCGTAAAGCGTAAGATGGCCGTGTAATTTTAGTTCTTAAATATTATTTATATAGATTAAAAGAGCAAGGACCCTAACATAGATCCTTGTGGAACCCCACAAGTAACTGGCAGTGCGTCACTGATCTATATTGTCTAATTTAAGTATTTGGAATCTATTTTCTAAATATGACTGTAAAATTTTGAAGGCACTTCCAGTAATATTTAACAAAACCTTTTAACAGGATTTTATGCGATATAGTATCGAATGCTTTTTTAGGTTGAAAAAAATAGTTAGGACTAGATTTTTCTCATCTATATTATGTTTTATTTTTGTAACAAGGTCGATAGTTGCTGAAAGTGTGCTGTGTGTGTGTAGTCGCTTCATTTTGTTACACTAAGGTAGTAAAATATTAATGTTAAAATATGTCAATTACATCACTGATGTCAAGGTGAACAGATTAAAAGTATCACAAGAAATTAGTAAACTTACACAGATAATTATAGGCGACGAATACGTGTATGTCTTTTAGAATCGTTATGAAGTCTGCAGTTGTGAGAAATACTCAAGGCAGAAATGCCTGGGCAAAATAGATGAAGATGCCGTGTCTAGTGATGTATGTCTCATTTACAGTGGCCTATTCGCTAAGACGGACGAACTGACCGTACTGGACCTGTCCAACAACAACTTGACGAGCGACACCTTTAACAAGCTGGTGTCGGTGTCGTCACTGCGCGAGTTGTGGCTCAACGGCAACGAACGGCTCGGCGACGCGTGCTCCATGACTAACGGTGACTACATTTAATGTATCTAGTAATAGGGAATATGTCCTTTGTATGTATTATGTAAACGTTTCTACAAGTTATTCAATTACCAAAAATAAATATAACACCCGAAATATAAACCATTGACTTAAAAATGTAGAAGCTAAAAGATTGCTAAATGGATGTGACGGGGCGAACCACCATCTTTCGCCCCAAACAAACAATAGGTGTATAGCTAAATACAACGACCGGTGACGGGCAGCAGCGTCACCGGTGCGACTAGCTACGCCCTGCGTTCGCCAACCCTCCTGTATTTCTTTCCCCCCCCCCCCCCCCTCCCCCTCGGGCCGTCACCCCACCAGGGTTTGCTTCGGAATCGGGAACCAAAACCACACGGTGTGCCACTCTGCGCGTGTAATAGGAGGGATCCGGGAACTGCTCTTATTCAGACATCCGGACCCCTCCTAGCGCCTGCCCGCAACGGCGCGAGCACCACTTTCGGGTACATTCTCTATTTAGGCGACGTCCGGCCGGTTCCGGTACGAAAGATCCCCCCCCGATGACTGCAATAAGGATCCAACGCTGCGGCGCCAAAGCTTGGCAAATTGCCAGCGTGTGTTGAGCCGAGTCCTCACTGCAATCGCAGTGGTAACAGGTGGGACTGAATTCCTTCCTAGCGACCGAGTGCAGGTACTTCCCGAAGCAGCCCTGCCCGGAAAGGACCTGCATCAGCCGTAAGGAAAGGGTCCCGTGCTGCCGCCCTGCCCACTCGACGATGACCGGCTGGAGCACCTAAACGGCGGCAAAGCCAGCACGTGGAGCCTCCAGCCAGGACGACCAACGAGCCATCGTGGCTCGGCGAGCGGCCTCACGCCACTCGGGTATCTCTTGGGGCGGGGGCCGACTGCCCTATCCGCCCGGAACTAACCCGTCCGCCGATATAAATCGGCAAGCACTTCCGCCTCCAAATCCCACCGGGGAGTACTGGCCAATGCGCAAGTCGCCTCCGTCGATACGAGAAAAGCACAGAAAAGTGTATTATAAATGTTGTTATGTTTCGTACGTGTCAATATAACATCAAAACTGCACTTGTCAAAGTATAATTCCTTATGTCGAAAGAAACAGGTATAAGTAAAAAGTGGTGCATAGCGATGAGAAGAGACGATGTATCGTGTTTTAGCTGTTTATACTGCTGTGATGATCATTTTTACTTAGTTACCTGCAGATATTTTTTTTAACTAAACTTTTCTAAAATAGAGGTACTATTATGGGCCAAAGGTCCGCAGTCTCATTGGCTTATCGTATATCGCTCGCCAACTTCATATTGGTGTTTTTTTTAAATCAGCTTTCTTAACGGGTTAGAATCTAGTTTATAAATTAAAATTGCAGGGACGGAACGAAACACCACAACTGGTCAAGATTCCGCTTCTATAGGGTTCCGCTGCAATGTAGTTACTTTAAGCCGTGTCCCGTTGCATATTTTGGTAGACTTAAGTTACGCAGTATGATAATAAGCACACCAACTTTTAGATTTATTACATGGGAAAGAAGCCCCGACGCAGGTAACGAATTTAAAAATTCGACTAATATTGTAGACAATATTGTTGCTCTCTATACGTTTTAAAATGGCGTTGTTTAACAACGGTACAGTATTGCGCAACCGCCAAAGTGGTTTACGTAAGATTATAATATATTAACCAAATATAATTTACAGTTTCCATTTTATACAAAACATAGGGTTTTTTAGAAGACGTAACATAACCTCAAAAACTGGTCAATTTGTAGATAATCAAATTGAGCTCATAGGTAGTTGGTAATTGTAACCGATACTAAAGAGACTTAATAAAATCATCACCTTTCTTTATATTTTCCGTTTAAACAGTTAAAAAACAAAAAAAAAGAAGAAACAGGTGTAAAGAAACAAGCACTATGGATACTATCGAAATTATTGAATTGTCTGAGAAATCAAGAATCAGGGTCTTCTCTTAAGTATTAGAAAGTCATAAGATGTGGTTACCTGTGTAGGAGTTATCCATGACTGCAATACATTGATCACTGAATTAGTCGCCAGTTCTAAGGAGTATCTACGTCGGTCTCTTGGGATCGCAAGTATGTTCTTGTAGGTTACTCACGTGAAGTGGTCGACATTTTCAAAGTTGTGTCAAAATGCTATTCTAGTGGGTAAAACATTATTCGGTAAAAGAATACATGGAAGATAATCTGTAGAGTAAATAATGTACATCTTATATCTTCTTGTGACATACATCAGTACGCACATTTTGACATATTAATTTGATATATTATAGTTGCTATTTATTATTATTACTTTTTCTCTACTTTGTTTCTATCATAATTATTGTTAATTTTTGCATGCTTAATTCAGCTTAATATAGTGAAACTAGCTGTATCTGTGCCATCTGTTTATTGAATAACCCATATAATAAATTGAATTGAATCGAATACGCGAATATTTAATATCTTAATTTTTTTATTATCAGCATTTGGATCTTAATCACACCAAAATTAAGTAATATGTAAAGAAATCTATAAAATCATTATTAAGTACAACAAAATCAAATCACTTTAAAAAGTATATAAATAACAAATTAATTAATAAGGTGCTATTGTCATGTCTTATTTTTTATAAAAGAGGGTGCAAAAGAGCAGGAGGGTCACCTAATGGAAAGTGACTTCCACCGCCCATGAACGCTCGCAACTTAGGAGTGACAAACGCGTTGCCGGCCTTTTAGGAAGAAGTACGCTCTTTTTCTTGAAAGTTTGCAGATCGTATCGGTCTGGAAATACCTCAGGCGATAACTTGTGCCACAGATTGGTTATGCGAAGCAAAAAGTGTCTTGATGATGTGTAATCGATTAAGAAAAAGAATAAAGGCCTCAACATCTTTTTATATTTTGACTATGAAAAATAATTTGAACAGTTTTTTGAGGCAAAATATAATAATATAAAAGCTATTTCATATCTTATTAGTTAAAAAAAAAACTCCCATGAATATCTTTAAAAATAAAGAAATAAATTTTAATATTATTTTTATCTCCCCGCGTGACAAAACCCAGTATCACAAATGGTCATTATCCTTTGCATTTTTAGTCAGTAATGATTATTATTTTCTCATTAAATACTAAAAAAAAGTTACAAGTAAGGAAGTCACATATGCTTCAGTACACGTTTTTGTATATAAAGCACAAGGCAGTAGGTACTGTATTTTTAGAAATGGAAAAAGCCGTTAATCCTGAAGATCCTGATCAGGATAATCAGACAAATTTATCAAATTATTGAATTTTGTATCGATCCTTGATAAGTGTGCTGTCTTGAAGTGAGTCAACATCACGTTTGAAGATTCCGTTGCATACATACACATCGATACCAAGCATAGGCATACCAAGCTAACAAAAGAGTACTAAACGAAGACAAGAGACTAACTAAATCCATGTATGAATGCGGTTACCGATATATGCCGCGAGCCCGCGTAGTGACGGATTAAGAATACAGTGTCACCACTCCTATTTATCCCGTGGGTGTCGTAAGAACCGACTAAGGAAAAAAACTACGCACTGCAGAAAGAAGGAAAACTTGACACAAACCCTATACCGACCCGTCTAGCCAGCGTGGTATAGTAGGCCAAAACCTCCTTTCTAAGGAGAGGCCTATGTCCAGCAGTGGACTGTTAAAGGCTGTTGATGTGATGATGATGATGATGGCCGATATATTCAAAGTGATTTGTTTTCAGGGGCTTCATTCCTTGAGCGCTTGAAGCGTCTTCGGCAGCTTCACCTGAGCAATACGGGCGCTACGGTCATGTGTCGCGACTTCCGAGAGAACATGCTGAATCTGAAGACACTCGATCTCAGCTACAATAAAATCACGACACTCACGGTAATCACTCGCCTCATATACATTCTGAAACGATGATCAAACCCATTCTCCTCGGACTAATGTTAACATATTCGGTTTATTCTTTTTAGTAATGATAGTGTTTTTATTTTTGTTAACAAAAACTCAAACTCAAAATGTCTATATTTCATTTAAAAAAAAAATTGTGTGATGTCGTCTTTTATGTAGACTCTAAAGTCGTAGATCAATACACACAATAGCAATAATCTCTGTTTTGACAAATTGCAAAATAAATTAAATAAAAATTATACTTAGACAAAATGTATGATATGCCTGTGCCGATCTACAACCGCCCGTTTTCAAGGGGTTGGGTTGAGCCTGAGCAAACAAACTCAGGGCCACTCTTTTGCAATTTACCGATAGATACAATGGCATCATAAAATATACCAGAACATTGTTTTGATGTGTGCTAGTATGTCCGTCATTAAGAACTAAAAGGCAAAAAGACAATAAAGGGATAAGAAAACAGATTAAATACTCGTAAAAGAGAAAGTGAAGTGAAACATAAAAAATAGAAAATAAAATTTATTTGCAAAAAATCAAAATAAAATCAAGGTTACATTTTGTATATGATTTCCATTTTATTGTCATTAGATTCTTATATAAAGTTTGTTACTAAAGCTAACATAAAACTAGTATATGACTGTTCTAAAATGTGCAAGATTGAATATAAAGAGGTGAAGACAAGATGTAATAAAATTGTTTTGCAAACGGCCTGAGCTAGGTGTGAGACCTGTGTTTCAGGCAGTCGCTTGACTATGTTAGTCACAGCACGTTCATATGTTAAAGTTCTAATAGATTGATAATGTAAATCACTTCAGACTGGTTTGTATACACAAATATATATTATAGTTAACCTAATTATAGTTTATATTAGATAATTTTAAAATTATATATATTAATTTTAAAATTATATACATATTTGACAGAGACTGTTGCTGTTGTGTGTATTGATCTATAACTTTAGTTTACATACGTAAGTCACCATATAAATTTTGAGACACGCCAAAAGTAATCAAATCAATATGTACTTACAATTTATAAGAAATTATTTTAAATTATTCAAAAAATTTCAAACACATTTGCCTTTTAATAATATCTGCATCTGTGTCATATGCGTTCCATTTTCAAATTTCGAGCATCTCAAAACTATTAGTGACCTACGTAAAAAAACGATCTCAAACAATTTTAATTGAGGACGAGGACGAGGACGAGGTGAACAGAAGAATTCGGTTGGGTTGGGCAGCGTTTGGGAAGCTACGTCGAGTCTTCTCATCTTCGATCCCACAGTGCCTTAAGACGAAAGTCTTTAATGAGTGCGTCCTACCCGTCATGACATACGGAGCTGAAACGTGGACACTTACGGTACGGCTGGTCCACAAGTTCAAAGTCGCTCAACGTGCTATGGAAAGGGCTATGCTCGGCGTTTCTCTAAGGGATCGCATCAGAAATGAGGTGATCCGGCAGAGAACCAAGGTCATCGACATAGCCTACCGGATCAGCAAGCTGAAGTGGCAGTGGGCTGGCCATATGAGCCGCAGAACCGACAACCGTTGTGGAAAACGAGTTCTGGAGTGGAGACCGCGTCTCGGCAAACGTAGTGTAGGATGCCCACAGGCCAGGTGGAGTGACGATTTGCGCAAGATGGCTGGCAGGAGCTGGATGCGAGAAGCCCAAAATCGATCTAAGTGGCGTGCAATGGGAGAGGCCTATGTCCAGCAGTGGACTGCGATAGGCTGATGATGATGATGACAAGATAAAAATGGTTACTGCGGTTTATCCTTATTAGATAGACATACTCGTATACCATTGCGGACTTCTTTGTAGACCTTTTTAAGATATTTTTTTTCTTTTCTTCTCAGCCTATGCTTGTCCACTGCTGGACATAGGCCTCTCCCAATGATTTCCAGCGGGGACGGTTGATTGCGGCCTGCATCCAACGGTTTCCGGCAACCTTTACCAGGTCGTCCGTCCATCGGGTAAGCGGTCGTCCCACACTGCGCTTTCCAGAACGTGGTCTCCATTGGAGAACCTTACTGCCCCATCGGCCGTCAGTTCTCCTTGCTATGTGCCCTGCCCATTGCCACTTGAGCGCGCTAATCCGTTGGGCTATGTCAACCACCTTTGTTCTCCTGCGGATCTCCTGCGGATTTGATCACGCAGGGAAACGCCAAGCATAGCCCTTTCCATAGCACGCTGAGCGACTCTGAGCTTTCTGATTAGGCCCATAGTAAGAGACCAGGTCTCGATTCCGTAGGTCATCACTGGTAACACACACTGGTTGAAGCATTTCGTCTTTAGGCACTGAGGTATTTTGGACGTGAAGACGTTTCGTAATTTCCCGAACGCTGCCCAGTCGAGTCGGATTCGACGATTGACCTCTTTCTCGAAGTTGGACTTACCTAATTGGACCGTTTGTCCTAGGTAGACATATTCGTCAACAACTTCGAGGACAGAGTTTTCGACAGAGAGAGGACATTCGACATGATTTTCGTTTTGTCCATGTTCATTTTAAGGCCGATCTGTTGAGAAACTCCGTCAAGGCCAGCGAGCATTTGTCCCAGGTCTTCCAGCGATTCTGCCATGACTACGATGTCGTCGGCAAATCGAAGGTGAGTTATGTATTCGCCATTGATGTTGATGCCAAGTTCTTTCCATTCCAGGAGCTTGAAGGCATCTTCCAGAGCAGCGGTAAACAGTTTCGGAGAAATAACGTCTCCCTGTCTTACACCTCTCTGTAATGGAATTGCCTTCGTGTACTGGTCCTGTACTCGAACTGACATATTGGTGTTATTATACAAACACTTCAATACCTCGATGTACCGATAGTCAATACGGCTCCGCTGGAGAGACCTAAAGACTGCCCAAGTTTCGATCGAATCGAAGGCTTTCTCATAGTCCACAAACGCCAAGCATAGTGGCCAATTATACTCCTCGGTCTTCTGTATAATCTGCCGCAGCGTATGTATGTGGTCTATGGCACTAAAGCCTTTTCGGAAACCGGCTTGTTCGGGAGGCTGGAAGTCATCAAACCGACGTTGGAGACGATTCGTGATGACTCTTGAAAACAGCTTGTAGACATGGCTCAGCAGTGTGATGGGCCTGTAGTTCTTCAATAAGGTATTATCGCCCTTCTTGAAGAAAAGTACCACCACACCCCTGCTCCATGACTCTGGCGTGTGTCCCTCAAGCAAGACGGAATTGAAGAGCTTCTGGAGGACCTTGAGTACCGGTTTGCCACCCGCTCTCAGAAGCTCAGATGTGATTCCGTCATCGCCCGGTGCCTTGTTATTCTTAAGCTGTTTCAGAGCCATCCCAATCTCGTACTGGCTGATGTCAGGGATATCTTCGGTATAATGTCGGGTTAGCCTTGCTCTAGGGTCATTAGCTGGGCTACTAGCAGGCTTTGCGGTTGAGGTATACAAGTGCCGATAGAACCTCTCTATCTCCGTAAGTACCTCTTGCCTACTCGACGTTACACTCCCCTCTTCTGTTTTTAGCTTCGTCAACTGGCTTTTCCCAATAGACGCCTCTCTTGCGAACACTTTAGAGCCTTTGATTCGCTCTATCGTCTCCTTAATGCTGTTAGTATTAAAGGAGCGGAGATCGTGTCGCAGAGAATTCCATATCTGTCTATTGAGCTGCCGATAGGACTTAGCGTCATCGGAGGTTTGGAGAGTCATAGAACGTCGCCCGGCCATGAGGTCCCGGGTATGGTCGGATAGTTTCTGAGGTCTATCTTATCGTTGGAGTCTGAAGAACTTAGACCCAACCTCATGGATACTTTCTACCAGCCTGCTATTGATTTCATCCACTGATGTGCAGCTATCTTGGCATTCGAAGCGATTTTGCAATTCGAGTTGAAAGCTTTCGGGGTTTTGGATCTGAGCAATCGAAGGTCGGAGCGTGGACTTCATAAGACGGGCGCGTTCCAACTGAACGTCTATATTCAGTGTGCCTCTAACCATTCGGTGATCACTTCCGGTTTTTACCCTGTGAATCACGGATACATCATTGAATATACGCCTTTTGTTGGTCAAAATGAAGTCAATCTCATTTTTTGTGGAACCATCGGGACTCATCCAGGTCCATTTCCTGTGAGGCGGCTTCTGGAAATAAGAGTTCATCATAAAGAGTCCCTCTTTTTACAGGAAATCGGCCAGCCTGTGTTGGCCCCTGAGGTTCCGTTGCCCAAAACCAAATTGCCCCACTCTCAACTCATCATCGCTTCTTCGGCCCAGCTTTGCATTGAAGTCTCCCATAACAACGGTGTAGTGTGTAATAGTGCTATGTATGGCCCTACTGATGTCCTCATACATAGCTTCCACTTCATCATCTGGGTGTGTGGAGGTCGGTGCGTAAACCTGTATGACCTTCAACGAATATTTCTGAGATATTCTGAGTATAAGGTACGCTACCCTGCTCGACACACTATTGATGGACATCACGTTGCTAATAAAAGACTTGTGGACGATAAACCCGACACCACCTTGGAACTGTTGTTCGCCCTCCCGGTAGTAGAGCAAATTGCCGGAATTCAGGGTAATCGTGTCCTCACCCTCCCTTCGGACTTCTGCTAATCCCAGCGCAATTTGCTCAACTCTTCTTTCAGCTCTACTATCTTCTCGTCAGTCCTCAAAGTGCGTATGTTGTGTGTTACCAGGGTCAGTTGTCGTTGGGGGTGGTAGCCGGATCCCATCCGGGGATTCTTCGCACCCCCTGCCTCGCCGCTGCCATGACCGTGTACATTTCCATTTTAAGATATACAATACCGTAGTACATTATTTTGGTCTATCTTGTTAGGTTAAGCGTTTGCAATTTAAGCGCACATAAACATGTTCTTTACAACAAATCCTTAAAATTCTCGGATTTTCTCTGCTATAATATGCACGTATTACACATATAAACCTTGCTCTTTAACCAATTTTTCTATTGGTGAAAATGCATTAAAATCCGTCGCTTAGTTTAAAATATCTAGGCAAGTGCGTGTATACTATAGCAAAAAGTGTCGGAAAAGTCATGTTACATATTTTTCGGACTAACTTCCATCCGCTCGGAGCGCGTAACGTGGGTACTTCGTTCCAAAATTAAATAATTAAGTAGTAGAAAGTTTTTAACTTAACTCATATTCGAATTAAAAGTAAATTCAGTCTCGGCGTTCGTTCGCATAACATCGTTCGTGACGTCTCTATCGAAACCGAACGATCGTCTCACACCGCATCCGTACCGCCGTAGTACTCGGATCTGCACTTCGAGGCGAAAGCGGTCGTCGACCTCCGCGGCAACCGCGTGACGACGCTGCTGTACACGCACCAGGAGTACCGGCGCCTCGTGGACAACTACGACACGTACTGCGGCGCGGGCGCGTCGAGCGCCGAGCTCAAGCTCGACGCCGAGCTGCGCTGCGACTGCCGCGACGCGTGGGCCGCGCTGGCGCTGCGCGACTGCCCCGCGCACGTGCGCCTGCCCGCGCTGCGCTGCGCCGCCACGCGCGCCCTGCCCGCGCAGCGCGTGGCGGCGCGACACATCGACGAGTTCGTGTGCGCGCTGCCGCCCGCCCGCTGCGGCGCGCCCGCGCACTGCGCCTGCGCCGAGCGCCGCCGCGACGTCGCCGGCGCGGACACGCGCGTGCTGCGCGTCACGTGCGCGGGCCCAGACCCGGCGCTGACCGCCCCGCCCGCGCTGTCGGACGCGCCGGGCGTGGCGTGGCAGCTGCTGCTGCCCAACAACTCCATCGCCGAACTGCGCAGAGCCGACCTTCCGCGTGACCTAATGGTGAGTCCACGCTCTCGTAGTGTGCCCTGGTCCCGTGACGACTATGAATAGGTTTCTGATTGTTTATGTTTTTTTTTAAGAAAAACGACAAAAGTGAAAAAGTATATGTGAGTCGCGGTGTTACGTCGTTTAAAAAAAATTCGGTTGTCTGTAAGGTCGGTTTACTGACGATAGTCGAACGTGACAACGTCATAAGAAAATACTGATGGAACGGTAGCATTTTTCAAAAGAAACTTTTAATTACGCTTCATACTTGACGAAAACAGGTAAATGTATTATTGTATAGCAGCTGTCCACGCGGACGTATCGCTGACTCAAGTAGGAGAGAGACAGATGTCGAACGCTGCCGAACGCGGAGGCCGATTATGCCTCTTTGTCGCTCGTTCCGCGCTCTCGCTTGCACTTCAAGCCTTAAATGGAACGCCTCAGAGCGAGGTAACGCCGCGTGCGTCATGTTCTTTCGTGCGTGCAGCCGGCTCCATCGAATTATAAGAAGTTGTCACGTCAAAAATTGTACAAATTCACTTTCGTTTCGTTTCATTGAATAAATCGATACGCAAAATAGCTAGTCACAAATAAAATTTGACGATTCGATTTTCGTTTCGTAGGATTATCTTCTCGTGTCGCACGAAACTTCGATCGATTCGATCTTAACTTTATAATTTTTTGTAATTCGATCGGTCAGGGGACGACCACGAGTCGCCGTTCTCTTAAAACGCACGGACCGTACCGGTCGACAGTGCGAGTTTATCGTTCGCAGTATAAATTTCGGCGTTCACGTTCATATTTGAAGCGTAGAATCGGCGTCGTCTTCGCAGGCTCTGGACCTTCGAGGCAATCCGTTGGCCGCGTTGGACCCCGACATCGTGACGTCGCTCCCGGCCGACGGGCGTCTCTGGCTCGCCGAGTCGCTGTCGTGCGAGTGCGACAACGAGGCCGGGCTCGCCGCCCTCGTCGGCCGCCCCGACGTCGTCGAGAACGCGGACGAGCTGCGCTGTGCGGGCGGCGCCGAGCTGCGCCCCGCCTCGTGCGCGCGGCGCGGCGCGGCGCTGGCTGCCGGCCTCGCCCCGCCGCTACTGCTCGCCGCGCTCGCGGCCGCGGGGCTGGCGCGCCGCTCGGTCCGCGCGCGGCTCAAGCGCGCGCTGCGGGGCCTCGGCGTGCTGCCGCCGCGCGCCGAGCCCGACGACGAGCGGCCCTTCGACGTGTTCGTGTCGTTCTCGCACCTCGACTCGGAGGTGGTGACGGAGCTGCTCGCCGGGCTGGAGCCGCGCTACCGCGTGTGCGTGCACTTCCGCGACTGGGCGCCGGGCGCGTGGATCCCGGCGCAGATCGCGGCGTCGGTGCGGCGCTCGCGGCGGACGCTGGCCGTGGTGTCGGCGCACTTCCTGCGCTCGGCCTGGGCGCGCGCCGAGTTCCGCGAGGCCCACGCGGCCGCGCTGCGCGACGCCGAGCCGCGCCTGGTCGTGGTGCTGCTGGACGAGCCGGCGCGCCTGCCGCTGGACGCCGAGCTGCGCCGCTACCTGGCCGCCAACACCTACGTGCGCTGGGGCGACGCGTGGTTCTGGCGCAAGCTGCGCGCCGCGCTGCCCCCGCCGCGCGCCGCCCCCGCGCCCCCCGCGCCCCTCGCACCGCCCCTCGCACCGCCCCTCGCACCGCCCCCCGCACCGCCCCTCGCACCGGCCCTCGCACCGCCCCTCGCACCGCCCGCGCTGCCCCTGGAGCAGCTGACGGGCGCGGCGGCGTGACGTCCCGAGGCTCTTCGCGTCCAGCGGTACACGTGAAAGGACGATTAAACGAACGAATGAACAATAGTGATTTGGAATAAAAAGTGCCTCGTCGATGACCGTCATCAATTCTCAGAGGAACGGGAGCACAGTTCCAAATTGACTCTGCTGTAAAAATATACTGTGCGGTGTACGTGTAGATACCTATAATAATCTATATAGTTATTAATTATAAAATAAAAAAATATATTATTTTTAGTCAAAACTGCCATCTCGGTAAAAGATTTACTAGTATGATGCGGAACCGATCTAATCGTAATAGCATTTATTCTGCAATACATTTTATTGTTATTATTAAGCCAGCATACGGGTACGGTTTTGAGGTTATCGTTGTTTAAAAATGTATATTATAACTCAAATTAATGCAAGCGGTGCGTTCTGCTATCTGAAGGAGTTATTTTCTTTAACGATTTATAGACACCCCGACAAATAACCAGTTTCAAAATGAGTCCACAGGAGGGTGCACCCCAGTGTGTGTGCGTGTGTGTGTGTGTGTGTGTGTGCGTGCGTGTGCGTGTGTGTGTGTGTGTGTGGGACACATGCGACCGACAAGGCAATATTATTCGAAAACACCTTTTTAATTATAAACGAGATCTTGAAAATACAAAGGATGTGCCATAGAGCGTCCCACCGCCCGCGGCCGCTAGAGCTTCCCTCGCTTTGGGTCTGCCGTTATTTACGTGTGCTCAATATATAATGTGTAATGTGCTAAATAGTTAGCTATAACTTCAAATATAAGTGGATAGTTAGGTATTACCCTTGTTGTCTCTACGTCGCGTCATAATATGTCTTAAACTCACCCAGTGTGTGTTAATTTACGTTGAACCGTAATCTCTGCTATAGCAAAATAGTTATAAGGCTGAACCAGAGACGGTACGGATACCAGATTGCCTGGAATCGAAATTACTTTCATACGTAATATCCGATAATTTCGGTTCCGGTTACCGATCTCTCCATAGCATCCCTAGTCTAGACTATTTAAGTCCTTCGAATGACTGAATCTCAAACTCATGACGTATTTAATGTGTAACCGATGCGCTCCTCTACGTACATGTACTGAAGAGCCGATCCAAAAGACTGTAACTCAACGACCGTCCTTACGTCGGTTTAGTCCCCTGATCAACACTTTTGTTATTCTAAAATGTTTTATAGAAGAGACAATAATCTAAAAAATACTGTATTGTATAGAAATTAGGGTTTTAACATGTTAAAAACTGTAACAAAGCTTTCAAGGTCAAAAGTCGTTCGTTACAGTATTTTGGATTGGTACGGCAGTGTATGTACATATTAGTCTACTTGAGGTTGGCAGTTACTTCATTAACTATAAAACCTTTGGGAACGAACTCTGTGATCACGATATTATTATACATTATTTTTTTATTTAAGGAATGAAATAAAATGTTTTCTATTTTTATATTTAAAACTATTGTTTCATTTAGCTATCGATTCCTACGACTTAATGACTGAAGTGAAACCACATCTCGCAGCTCGCTTCAACCCTTAATCGGGCCCTGAATTACAGACGTAAGTTGTAGATATTTCAAATGCAGCATGCCTCAATTCATCAAATTCACTTTGTTTTAGCTTGACTTTTTTTTTTACTGTTGTGTACTGTGTACGAGTGGTTAGATTGGTTAGATTAACTAGCCTCAAGGTTCGATTCACTCAAAAACAATCAAGTAACCGTTTGAATTCGAAATCTTAACGATTCGAAAGCTTATATACCACATCCGCAGAATTTTAACACCGCGGTTCAGCCGACCTGAACAACGCCATCTATTTGCTTAAATTAATTACATTAAGGTTCGATTGAACATCCCGCCCACCATAGACGGACTGTCCAAAAATGAATTAAGCTTTTACATTAAACTGAAAATCACTATACAATTAAGGTGGCAACAATAACAAACATTGAAAATGAAACATGTCGGCGCAGCCGCCTCTCAATACGTCTGATGTCACTTTGTCAAACGTCACTGTCAGATGTCATATGTGTCAAAATCCATAGCGAACACCGAGCACTGGTGAGGCGGCCATCTGGTAATAAAGGACACTTAGTGGCGCACGCAACCACGTGCTCGGTGGACGTTAAGTTCTAATCCAGGCTAATCTTAGTAATCCTTAATTAATTTGTGAAAGTAATGATTATGATATCAAGAATTATTAGTGAAGTGATATAGCAACAGTTATTTTATTGAAATATTGTCTCCCTACCCGATAATCCACGCCTACCCGAACATGTCTCATAATTCTGATAATGGTCGAAAGACTTCATCGGAAGTGGGATTCGAAGGGTCAAACGAACAGGAGACAGCTTCACATCAAGGAAATAAAAATCGTGGTGCAAGTACCACGATCTACTCTCAGGCATGGAATCGATTTTGACAAGGCTACTGGCGGCGACTACCCACAATACTCAACAACATAATTCGACCCTGCTGGTGAAATTTGATCCCGACGATGCAGAGGCCGATATCGAAGGTTGGTGTAGAATCACGGAAATAATAGCTTCTGGCCGAAATCTTACTGGAACTGAGTTGTTGCTTGCCTTAGTCAGTGCATTGAAAGGACGCGCCGCATCCTGTCTAACCAAATTAAAAAATTCAGAGATAGAATGACCTCGTATTAAAGAACTGCTACTGGCACGATTTGGAAAACCCATGCTTATGCAAGACTATTTCGACTGTGTAATGAGATTCGAAATTACACAGCAAGAGACGGCTTCGGAAGCAGCTAAGCGTTTGTGGAGTCTCATTGAGCGCATACCAAAAGTGGAGATGAACGAAGAGGTTACCACTGGCTTCGTCATATCAGTCCTCAGCCAAAGAAACTCACTGATACGCAGAGAACTAAATTCATGTACCATCACAACAAGAGCTCAATTGTACCGCGCCCGTGGTGGAATATCCCTGAAGAGACGTCATGATGAAAATGAGGAGTAGCCTTCCATTTCTAAGAAACCACGTGTAAGATGGGTTCGCTGTCTCAAAAGTTCCGGAACGAGAGAAGACAATCACGTGCTTCACCTGCCACAAACCGGGACATGTCAGTACGGCTTGTCCAAACAACAAAGCAGATTCAGCTAAGAAGGACGTGAACATCTGCGATCGGAATCTCGTGAAAGGTACTTTGTCGACGTCGACTGGTAAGTCAATTCCATTTCTGTTTGACAGTGGTTCAGCATGTTCATTGATCAAGAATAGCGTAGCGGCCCTGCTTCTGGGCCCCATACACAAAGACACAGTTTACTTGACAGGCATAGGCGGTGAGGACGTAAAATGCTCGACTCAAATTTCCAGTCTCGTCCGTATTCAGGGTATTCCAGTTAGTATTTTACTTCATGTGGTCTCAGACAATACCTTGGTTGAGTCTGTCATTATAGGCAGAGACATTTTAAACCAAGGGTTTCATGTTGAAATGAATAGTGATTCGATTCGATTTTCATCGCGCAAATCCATCAACACCTGCCAAACTTCTAGTCGTCGATTGGTAAAGGACGTGGCCAGCGCCGCTGCGGTAGTTGCTCTCTCTCCACGGATCACTCCTGGCGAGAGAGCTTTCGGCGGGTTCGCTGAATCGGGTTGGCCGGACAGCGGACGGAGGCACGTATAGTGCCGCCGTCGGGGGCTTGGCTTAACTGCCCGGCCCAGAGGAAGGACACCTCTAAGATAAAAAACCCCCAATCCTAAGTTTCGAAGCGCGGCGATGGGATGAATGGCTGGTGGGGTTACCAGTCGTTAGCGCTTCCACTGTAGGGTACCTGCCGACCCCCTACAGTATTTAGGCTTACCCTGGTACGGGGCACTGCCGGGGTGGACTTTTATTTCCTCCACTACTCGTGGGAACCACATGGATAAGAATAACACAATTAAGGTTTTATTTTTTTACGTGGTGGAATGCGTTTACGCTAGTGATGCGCAAAATATATCACTGAGCTGAAAAGATTGATATATATCATTTCGCTCAAAAGATATATATCACTCGTCTAGCTCACTAGCTCATTTAGCTCACTAACTCGTTTAGCTCACCAGCTCATTTAGCTCACTAACTCGTTTAGCTCACTAGCTCATTGATCCGATTCAATTGATTGGTCTCTCAATTAATTCATTTCTTCATCTAGATCGTTTAGCTCAGTATACTCGTATATCACTCACTTTAAACCTTTCTTTATTTTCATATTAACCTAAATTCAGTTTTTGAAACTACATTTTTAACCTATTTTTTTTAAATACAATTTTATTCATTTTGATAAGATTTTATTCATTTTGATAAGATTACATAATTATTAACACCCTGTTACATAATAATTAAAAATAAGAAATTATTTCTTGTACTTTTTTTTTAGGTTGTATAATAGAAATTATACATAATTTGATTTTCCTTGTACTTGGCTTAATTCTTAAGTAATATTAAACTTTGATCCTATAGAAATAATGTACATTTTGCATAAAGAAACTTGCGTGAACTCAACCATCATCTGTCTCACTCATTTATCTGTAGTCTCACTCGCTCATGAAACAAAGATCGGCGTCGTTGAGCTAGTGATCTAGTGAGCTAGTACTGAGTTACTGATATATTCGGAGCTAGTGTGAGTGAGTGATACATTTTGTGCAGTTGCGGCACCGGGGCTCCGACTCCACCCCAACCACCTCCCACAGGTACTTGGCAAAACAGCCATGACCCGTGAGGAGTTGGGTGAGGCGGTATGTCGGAGCCCCATGGCCCCTCTCCACCCACTGACGCAGGACGGGCCGAACGGCCCCCACGTGCACCGACCCGCTACGGGTCGCCTCTAACCTCTCGGCCCATTTCCGGAAGAGATCATCGCGAGCCGACTGTCTCCAGCGATCGATCTCCTCCGGAAGCGGCCGACCTCCGAGAACACGTCGCATCAGGGCGCCCTCGGCGTACACTCTCTTGAGGACGCCGGCCTCGAGATCCCAGGGGATACTGCCCGCGATCAGACACGCCGCCTCGTAGGAGACGGTGTGGTACGCCCGTGCAGCCCGCTGCGCGATGGCGCGCTGCGGACGCCGCAGCAGCGCGATATTCGCCGGGCTGAGGGCTTCCGCCCATATGGGCGCTCCGTAGAGCGCCTTGGAGCGCACCACTCCGTCATAGAGACGGCGGCAGGCAGACCCCGGTCCTCCGCTGTTGGGCAGCAGACGCGAGAGCATTCCGGCAAATGCCAGCAGCTTCGGTGCCAATTGCCGGAAATGCTCCTCGAACCGCCACCGACTGTCGAGAACGAGCCCGAGATATTTCAGGCTGTTCCCGACAGCGATGGGGATGCCGCCCACCACAATCGACCTATCTCGAGGCGGCGTCTGCCGAGGCCCGTGGAAGAAGATGGCCTCAGACTTCTCCAGGGCGACCGTTAAGCCGAGCGCCCCGATGCGACGCACTACATGAGCGACGCCTGCCGTGGCGAGTACGGCGGCGTCGCGGAATGTTGGGGCCCGCGCGGTGACTAGGGTATCGTCGGCGTAACAGAGTACGCCGACTCCCCGAAGATTAGCACCGCGCAGGACCCAATCATAGCCTACGTTCCACAGGAGCGGCCCAAGGACCGACCCCTGTGGAACGCCGCAAGACATGTCCCTGCGGACCACCCCACCTTGGGCCGGGTAGATGATGGCCCGGTCCACGAAGTAGTCCGCAAGGACGCGCCTGAGGTACCACGGGACATTGTGGTACCTCAGCGCCTCCGCAATGGTCTCCCAGGGGAGGGTGTTGAAGGCGTTGGCTATATCTAGCGACACAGCCAACACCACCTCACCCCCAGAGACCGCTTCGTCGACGCTGTCCCGCAGTCGGGATACTGCGTCGATCGTCGACCTCCCGCGACGGAAGCCGAACTGGCCATCGCTCAGGTTGGGCCCCGCCCCCTCCAGGTGGCCGACGAGACGTGCAGCGAGCACTCGCTCGAAAAGCTTGCACATCTCGTCGAGCAGAACGATGGGGCGGTAGGCCGACGGCGACTCGGCTGGTCGCCCGTGCTTCTTAAGAAGCACGAGCTTGCCGGTCTTCCATCGTCGCGGGACTCTCCCCGACGCCAGGCACTCCGACATGAGGGACAGCGTCTCCTCCTCTAGTGCGGGCATGACGGTGGCAATAACCTTCCCAGGTACGCCGTCCGGGCCCGGGGCGCGATTCCTGGACCGGAGTGCCAGTATCGCGGCCCCTAACTCGGCGTCGTCCACGGGAGGTATTGCCCCTTCGTCTGCCGGCACCTGGCTTGATGGTGCTGCCATCCGCGGCGGGACCCACTCTTCCCTCGCAGGGAAGAGGGATCTGACCACTCGGTCCAGAAAGCGCGGCTCGAGAGTTCTGGTGAGGGGAGGCGCCCAAGGCCGGAGTTTCTGACTCACAGTCTTGTACGGGCGCCCCCACGGATCTCGATCCAGGCTCTCGAGCCACTCTTTCCAGGCCTCGTCTTTGGCGGCTTTGATCGCCGAGCTGAGGGCCTCACGGGCAGCCCGGTACGCGGCATGCAGTTCTTCTTCGCGGGCGAGGTCTCTGACGGCTCGCCTTCGGCTGCGGGTGTACTGCCTCTGGGCCGCGTAACTTGCGGTACGCAGCCCGGCTAGGTGGGGACGCCACCAGTACACCTGCTTCCGAGGCGGGATAGGTCTCGCCCGCTGCATCGCCGCGTCGCAGACGCGAGTCAGCGCTCCAGCGAGTCGCTCGCATCTCGCGTCCACGTCCTGGCCGCTTTCGACGGCAGCCCATCGCTCGACGATAGCCGCCTCTCGGGCTAGCTCTCGGTCCAACGTTCCGAGCCGCCACCGCGGACCTTCCCCTACCACGGGGCGGTCCAGTGCCACACGAGTAGCCGAGGCAGCAGGGACGACGTCGAATCGGATGTACCGATGGTCCGACGAAGTCTCCACCCCCTCGACCACCCGCCAGTTGTGTATGTGAGGGGCCAGGCCGGAACTCGCGAAAGAAAGATCGACTATGGATCCGGCCTGGGCCCTCACAAACGTGTGGACCGACCCTCGGTTCAGCAGCACCAAGCCTTGGGACACCGCCCACTCCTCCACCATTTCCCCTCGGCTATCGGTCGCCGGGGATCCCCACGCCCGTGAGTGAGCGTTGAAATCCCCGGCCACCACAGCCGGGGTGGGGTGCACTTCCGCCACCAGAGCCCCGACCTCCGTGAGCAACTGCTCGAACTCGGCGAGGCTTCTGCTAGGCGGACAGTACACCCCAACTACTGCAGCGCCGCCCAACGCGACGAGTACGCATCCTCGGCCCCTCCGCACTCTGTCGAAGGGAGGAGCCGTTCGCTGGGCGACGATAGCCACCGAGCCGTCGTGGTCGCTGGCCCAATTGGGGCCGTCGCGAACGTAGTACGGCTCGGCGACTACTGCCACTGTCGTCTGCCACTGCGCCATGGATTGGGCCAGAAGGTCCTGAGCCGTGACGCAGTGGTTGACGTTGGCCTGCAGTATGGAGATTTGAGCCATTAAGATTGGGCGGTGTCCATTACCTCCTCATTTTGCGGCAGGGTGGGCGATTGTGTGGGTTTCGCCCCCCCTGCAGCTCTCTTGCGGCCCCTGTTGCGGGAGGCCGCCTTGCAGTCGGCCGTCCCAAGCCGGTGGCCGGACGCTGCACCCTCCGCCGAACAGACGGGGCAGCTGGGCTCCGCTGAGCAGGTGGCCGACTTGTGGCCGGCCTGCCCGCACCGGAAGCAGAGCGCACTGCGGTCTGTGGCCACAGTGCACCTGGCCCCGACGTGCCCCGGCTCGAGGCAGCGGAAGCACCGCACCGGCCTGGGCTCCAGGGTGGTCAGCTTGACCACTGACCACCCGACGACGATGCGGCGACCATCAGTCAGCTTTCTGGCCGCCTCAACAGGGCACCGCAACCAGGCAGTGCCCTGTCGGCCAGATGGGCGATTGATGTCGCCGACCGTTATGGCGTCGGCAGAGCAGCC